ATTAGCGGTAGCTCGTCTTCTGTCAGGGGTGAAGAAAAGCAGACATCTTGAACCAAAGCATCTCCAGATGTCAACAAGGGGGGTGTGGTTGTTTGAGGACCCAAATGCAGAGATGAGTAATTGTAGGTTTAATAAAAAACTGAAACAAACATCCAAAACTAGTGATGGGTCCAGCAACACTGACGCGCCGGCGCATGTGTCGAGCTCTAACAGCAAAACCCCATGTCGGTGCACGTATCATTTCAAGAAAGTCACGTGACCGATACAGGAGCTGTTTTAAACTGACTGACGCAATCTGTCAACGCAACACATCAGCCAAAAGAAATTCTGATCTTTTACGGTTCATCCTCGTATTAATCAAAAAAATGGATCAGCCTCGAGGAAAAAGAAAGGCTTTAGCCGAGTGGGACAATTCCGATCTCATATTTGATTTAATTTTCTTGTTGTGTCATCCTGTTCCTCTCAGTTATCACTACACTTATCCAAATTCAAATTGACTCTTAACTTGCTGCTCTTCCTGAAGTTATTATCTTAAATAAATAAATAAATCTTAGTCCTGCATGCTCACTTTAATATTCCCGTTATCTGTTCAAATTTATGGATTTTCTAAAAATCTGAAAACATCATACATATTTTAAATTTTAAACAAAAATATGAAATATACATTAAATGCAAACAATGTTTTTAAATATGATTTTGATTTAGGTCATCAAATCAGTGTCAGAGGCTGCCTGTAGTGTTTTTAAATGTCCAGCAGGTGTCAATATTCAGTGACACAGTATCGACAAGTATCAATACAGTTTAGCAATCTGTCGAAACGCATCATGACGCCTCATGAACCCATCACTACCCAAAACACAAAAATACTGAGAACCAAAAGAACAGGAAACATCAGGGAAAACTCCCCTGGAGAACCAGAGATCAGGAAGGAACTAACAATCAACAAGGAACCAGCACTGAAGAAATGCACAGGGAGACAGAACAAAGACTGGGGTAATCGGATGATAGGGAGCAGGTGTGGATGGAAGAGACTAGAAGGGAGCCGGGGTAAAGGAGACAGGCACAAGGGGGCAACAGAGAGCAACCAAACACCACTTAAACATACATGAAATGGAAAATAAACGAAAGATCAACAAAACAGAATAACTGATAATTGAAAAACTAAAATTAAAAGTTCCAAAAGGGGAGAACCATAACAGCAGAAATCAATCTTCTAGGCTGGTTACAAATCATGGCTTCTTTTGTGTTATTAAACAACTCAATAAATGTTACATGAATGTCATAATGGTCCAAAGAACAAAACAATGTGAAAAGAAGTATGTTCATGAGACAAAGTCTAAAGATAAAGAAGTTTGGCGGATTTATTTTGTTCACCTGGTCGGAAATTTAAACCAGTTATGGAAAGGCTAAATGAAATATAACTAGTGTGGTTTTAAAGATGACGGTTAGCCGCTCATGATGTTAAAGTAACTTCAGTTCTTCTCATGGGCTCCATGATGAATATTGATATTTTTAAATTTGCAGTTTTCAGTCTTCTACATGAAGGAGCACCAGCAGATTTTGTTTGTGAAACCTTTAGATTAGTTGTGACAACAGGAAGTGGGAATTCGAACGTTTCTTCAAAATGTTGCTCACTCCTCATCTGTTCTTCTGCACACGATGACGTTTTCTTTCATCTGATGAGCTGGATCTAATCTTCCAACCCTGTCATGGGATAGAAATGTAATGCAAGCAGTGTCACTCCCATTGAAACATCTCTTGTTAAAAAAGAACTGCTGCATCTTTTTTTCTTTACCTTTTAATTCGTTTTTCAAAAGATTTGATGCTGAACCAACTTTCTTTCTTTGCTGCACTGAAAAATGAAACAGGATGTCCAGCAAAGGACCCAAAGCGAGGAACAGATCACCCGGCAGTGCCCGTCAATTATGGAACACCTTCTGCTACATCATTCCTACTGCCCACATTACTTTAAACCATCATTATGTATGTTAATGCAGAAGGAAACAAATATCTACTTATTCATTGCTTAAAAACGATTAAGTATTTAGAAGAGGGGCACATGTCCTTGGGGTGAGAGACCAGTAAATGTGTTAGTGCTGCAGGTCAATGCTAAACTGGACAAACTGGTTTCTCAGGTTGTCTTTTTTGTCTTTTTTCCATGTTTTTTAGACATTAACTGCTGTGTGCTTAATAGTTAACTGCACATTCTTTGATGCCTACTTTTTTATATTTTTCCTCACTGTATAAATACCTTTACAAAGAGCAGTCATGTAAGCTAATGTGTTATAGAGTAGCAGTTTTCTGCCCTCTGCAGAGTATCAAACATGTAATCCTGGATTAGACTGCTATCATCTCTAGCTTAGAGGAGCAGGATTGGTCTTCTGTGGTAAAGTACCGGTATGCTGCATAACAAAGCTGGAGAGAACAACCAGGTCGGGCCACACAGCCACCTTCAATAAAATAGACTTTTATATGGTCTAACAGAGCTTTCAATGCTGAGGAGCCTTTTGATGTAAAATATCCATTAGGCCAAGAGTTTGTAACTAGATACTAAACAAACCTCCAGTGCTTCATTCCAGGGTTTGCAAGGGTTTAGGTTGTTTTCTAAGGCTGTACCTCACGGTTGTCTAAATGTTAAACCTGTGTTCTCTGCAGAAAAGGGAGTTTTTTGTTGTTTGGTTGTTTTTGTTTTTTTGTGGTTCTAATTTAAATATTTTATTTTAAATTACAAAAGATTTAATCTTTTAAAGGATATAAGAATCCCAGACAGGTCTTTGTCAAGAGTAATAAAGCAGCTTGGCTGGTTGTGTTGTAAAGTCTGAAGAAAAGTTTCTGTCGAAGCTCTGAGAGCACAGAAACATGCTCCAACAGAAGTGGAAGTTATTAATTTTCTGCCACTAAAAGTTAACCTAATGGAGAAGCTCACCTCCTTCATAGGACTGAAATAAATTAATGTCTAAAGCTTATCTGCCTTGTCATCCCATCCCAACTAATGCTTTGTTGTTTCTCACTGACACACACACAC